TAATTTATTGATTCAAATAGAATTATTACCGTAAAATATGTACAATGTAAATATAATAAAGCAATGCAATTCCATTGTAACATTCCAATAAATAATAACAACAATAATAGTACAATTGTTTTTGCTACAAAATTATTTGAAATTAAGAATTAATTATTAAAACTTATATTAATTGTAAAAGGTTTTTTACAAATTACATTGTTAATATTCTATTTAATTGATAGTGCCATTTATCAAAAGAATTATATGAACATATTAAACATTTTACCACTATCAAAAAGTGTACTTTATAACAATTGACATTGAATACAGTAGTTGCTAGATACTAATTAAAATATTTGATAAATAATTTTTAATTAATTTTCCATAATTATTATGTAATATCAAGATACGTGTGATAAATTACAGTCATAACTTTCACTTTTAAAACTCAGCCCAAATTATAAAATAAAATGAGCATTGTAAATTTATTAAATAAATATATACTGTATGGAAATTTTTGAAACAAAATTCCAAAGTTATTTTTAGATAAGACCCAAAAAAGTACAGAAAAACACAATAAAATAAAAGGTTTATTACACTATAAAGTAATTAAAATCATTGCACTCTAAACATAATTAGCACAAGTAGTCGCTGAATAAATTAAATGTTCAGTGTAAACATCGAGGTTTAAATAATTTGTAATTATTAAACTATGTAAACTTTAAATACCTTAATAGAGCTTTGTTTAAATTTTTAATTATTTCTAATATTTAATTTAGAATTAATTATTATTTATAATTACAACTAAATTATTTTATTATAGCATTATTGTTGTTTAATATGAATGGTGTTAAAAATGCTGATTATGGTACAAAGGAGAAAGGTCATATTGACAATAATAAGCCAGATGATCCGAGAAACCTAACATTTCGAGATAAAGTGATTTATACAATAATTCACAATTATATCCATCTATTATTTGTAAGAAATTTTTCATTACAAAACATTTTAAAATGTTTATTAAAATGTAATAAAATAAAATAAAACCATAATAACTTTAAATGTGCAGGGTCTAACATTATCAAGTATGGCACCGGCATTTGTTGATTACCGGGCACTATTACATACCGAGATGCAATGGATTGGTCTGTTTCCCATGTTTCAGGCTATTGGCATATTTTGCGGTTCATTTGGTATATTTTATATTTTACTATTAAGTAATTTAATCACTGATTTTATTCATAGTTAATTAATTACAGTTACGATCGCATTCAAGTACGTAAACCGACAAATATTGCTCTCTATACTGATTATACTGCAATGTCTGGGCACAATATTTCAACCATGGTCAACGCAGCTGTGGCATTTATACCTATGCATATTTGTATACGGATTTGGCATAGGTGCCTGGAACGGGTCCAACAATGTCATTTTGATCAATACTGCAATTTAGCCAGTTCATTTACGGTGTGGGCACTATCCTAGGTCCTTTATTGGACAAAAACTATGTGTTGGGCGAACAGATATGTCCCGGTGTTTATGAAGATGACTGTAAACTAGTCTCACTGTCCAATCATGCTATTATCAGCTCCGGGTTGTGTACCGATGAATGCCGCGCTTATGATAGACGACCCCGGCTTAAAATACCCTTGCTCATTGGCGGCTGTTTGCAACTGTTAGGTAATTATTTTATTTTTGTAATTTTTATAATAGTTAAAATATTAAATAAGTATTTTAAAAGATGATTTTTGTTGTAATTGATCTTGTACACTTACTTAAGTAATATTTAGTTGTATGCTAAAAATAATACGCAAATGAAAATATTGTAATTATATTATTTATTTAAGTCGTTGATTAGCATTATGACGAGTTAAACGTTTAGACTGTAATTAATAATAAATATTTTTTAAACAATATATTATGATTATATTTATGGTAATTAATGGGTATTTAAAACAGCGATTGCTTACAGTAATTAAATTTTAATGTCCACAAATACCTTTTTAAAATCCACAATTGGATACCATTGGTTAACATATTTAAATATACACCCGCCCGATTAATAATAACTCGGTCTAATTTTTTGCTTATTACACAAAATTAGTTTAACAACTAACTTGTAAGTTGTATTAGATACTGTAATATTAGCTTAAGTTATATAAAAATATATTTTTTTCATAAAATTTAAAATAATATTGGTAAAACAATGTATTTCTATTAAGGGAAAAAATATATATTTTTTAGCAAAAACAATTGGTCTTTTTAAAATAAATAATTTAATTATTAATACAACAATCATAATAATTACAGTACATTGTATAAGCATTATATTTAAGCAATAATATTAAAAATGTATGTGCTTAAAAAATAGCACTAACTATTCTGATTGTTAACTAAATATTATATCTAATTAAAATGAATCATAGATATTTAATAAAATTAGTTTAATAGTTATTTAAATTATTTTATAATTATTTAGAATAACTAAATAACATCCTGATTATGAAATAAAGTTTGACAATTATGTAATTTGTAATTCTGTATTAGAGACTGTAATCTTATCATGAATTATTTTTAAAAATATATTAAACGTCAAATTCATAGATATAATGGCTATTTTAATTACAATTACAATCATATAATGGTGAATGCAATTTATAAAAATTTAAGATAAAAATTATCTAATTCAATTTTTATTTCATAATTTAAAATGATTCATTTTAATAATTATCCTCTTAATAAACAAGTCCACTACTGTTCTTGTATTACATACTGTAATATAAAAATTAATTGTTTTAAAATATTTATTTATATTTAAATTTACAATAATATTGGAAAGATAATTGCGTTGAAAAATTTTATTTTACTGAATAATAATATTTATATACACAAATAAGCAATTAAATATTTTACTAATTACTATTAACATGAAAGTTTAAGTTTAATTTTTTGTTTTTGTACATAACTATCTAATTTACTCTATTTAAATTATTATACAATTTAAACATATAATTTACAATGTGCAGATATTTATTAAATTTATAATTGCATGGTTACAAAACGGATAGTAATTAGTTATTCATTAAATTCAATGTTCATATTTTGCATTTATTGCATTTAATTATAAATTAACTTTCAATTAAAACTTATAATTTTTCATTAAAATTGTAAAATTGTAATAATAAAAAATGTACGAATTTTATTAGCGATGAAAACATCTATATATTTTTATTTAAATAATATATTTAATATTTCATAATTAATTAATGCATTATTTATTTAAGATTAAATATATATAATTACCAATAATAAAACAATACTATTAATTTTAATTATGAATATAATCTAAACATTTTACAAAATTATTTATAATAAAACCATTAAACTCACCATGATTATTATGATTGACAGGTCCCATAATGATGCTGGCGATGTATGTGATCAAGAAATACCACTTCAATCACGACTCAAAGATAGAGGTCGTCACCACCGAAGAGCAAAAGGCGCGACACAAGCGATACGTGCCGTCAAAGACCATAATAGTGTGCACTTCTCTATACCTGGCCTTTGGTATAATGTCTGAGAATATGTATATGGATTTCGCGCCCACTTTCTACCAGTTCTGTCCGGCAAAGCTGTCGGCCGCCGACGCCTCTGAACTATTTTCATACATTGGCATAGCGTTGACCACTGGCCGAGGGGTCAGTATATTCATCGCAATGTATCTCAAACCCGAGCACATGATCGCCTACCAGTCCGTCATAGTGTTTGCCGGACACGTGTTTCAGTATTTCGGCCAGCACGATTATAATTTACTACTTGCTAGCTCAGTTCTGATCTGTTTTGGCTATTCAAGCATATTTATTTGCCTATTTTCCTTTGTTGGTCAATACATGGAGGTGACCGATAAGATCGGGGGCCTTTTTATTGGCTCGTATAATGCCGTGTATATGTTTTTACCTTATTTCATTGGTAAGTATGTGGAGATTGAGCCAGATAGTTTTGTGTTTGTCGAGTTTGGTAGCTTATGTGTGGCTATTATCTCGTTTATTTATGTGTTATATGCCGTACGCAATGTTCCCAAGGATTTAATTAGAAAGTTGGGCCCAATTGCCGGCCATTAATTTACATTTATGTGATTGTTCATTATGCATGATGTTTTTATTTTGTATAAATGCATTTTTAACAAATATAAATAATTTATTAAAATCTGTAAATTTATATGTTATTCAACTTTAAGTATAACTAAATATTTAAATATCAAGATGTAATGATATTCTTATGTTTCCAAATAAATAACATTATTTTTATATTATAAGTTATATTAAAATTCTGTTGGCTAGGCACATTTAAATATCAAACGGCTATTTGCGTGCAATTTATTAAATATCACAATGTGTGTTTATTGTTTGGTTTGATCACCATCATAAATATTAATAAGTACTTAATATTAAGCCTACACTTTTTTGTAATTTTTACAACCAAAACGTGCCTAAAAATCCTCTACATTTCTCAGACTGTATTGTAATAAAAAAAATTTATTGTAAAACATCTCAATAAATTAATATTTTGTGTAATTATAGTATGTAATAATTTAATTAATGTACAAGTTAGATTCATTAAACTTAATAATTATTATTTTGTGTGTAATTTCTATAAGTACTCATTTATAAATAATGAAAACTAAGAAATTCATTTTAATAAATTAAATATTATCATGCATAAAATATAAATTAATTTTATTATATTATTTTAAAAAATTCTTAATTAACACACATTTTTTGTTTAGTAAATCAACTAATTTATATAATATATTTAATACACGGTTAATGTTATATTTAAATTGCACATGATATTTAAGGCAAAACAAAAACAGAAATCTCATATAAAAAATTAAAGCGTCAACTATTTTGATCAAAAATTGCGAAAATTGTAATTTTTCACAATATTTGCACACATTTTGTTCGTAGACTACCTGTGCTTATGATAACATTTAAATGCCTAATAAAGTCAAATCACGTAAACATTTTCCAATAAGTTAAAACTATTTAAGATATGTTTATTATAACTAAAATAACTATTAGACTGAGAATTAGAAAGACATGTGGTCTCTGAATAAATATATATATAATTTAATTATATTTACAAAAAGCAATTTTATTTCACAAAATTCTTTATAATAAAAAAGTTTGCTTTTATTTTAAACAAATAATTATTCTGTACAAAATATAATGTTAAATATTTTCTATTAAAATACTTTCATTGGTAGTATTTTAATTATAAATTATAATTTTAATTTAATTATAATTTTAATTAAAATTTAATTATAATTATAAAATTGTTAATGTTTTGCCAATAAAATTTCCATGATGGATGAAAACATGAATTATAAAAGCGGTTATTACCCTAACCAAAATGAAAAGGGTCAGTATAATAAAAGTGGGCTTGATGATTCAAAAAGCATGACTTTTAAAGATAAAGTGATTTACACCATGATCCACAATTATATTCACCTATTGTTTGTAAGTTATATTATTAGTATTTTTTTAATAAAAATATTAATTAATAACAACTGGCACATTTTTCAGGGCCTGACCCTATCAAGTATGGCCCCAGCGTTTGTTGACTACCGGGTAATATTAAATACCGAAATGGAGATGATCGGTTTATTTCCAATGTTTCAAGCGATGGGCATTTTTGCTGGATCATTTAGTAAGTTACTTTATATATTTAAAAACTTATAAAATACTAACAATAGTAAGACTTATAATAAATAGTATACAAAACTATAAATAGTAGCAGTAGTTTGTGGTTTTGCAAATGTTATCTATGTAACAGTCTTGAGAAATATTAAAATAACTTATGAATATTTTCAAAAACAAATTAATCAATTATATATTTATGATTAAATTATTTATTGTTCTATTGATATACAGTAGGAGTTCCCTAATGTTCCTTATAACTTGACGTGTTGTATGCACTACCTTGATAAGTTGCAAAGTTTTATTCACTCTAATCGTTACACTTCTTATAGTCATTGTATGCCCTGTTTTCATATCAAAAACTATTTTATGAGTAAATATTAGTTTTTACTAAAAAACATGTTTAAACCCCACTAATCTGATTCAGGTACACTATATATGAGCAGCACTTGAATAGAGTATAAATAACACAGCAATATAGTGAACATATTTCGAACATAGGGAATTCATAATATACAGTATTATTATAATAAAAATGTCTAATATATTATTTTTAAACAATTTTAAAATAAAATGTAGTCAAACAAACTGTAATCTAAACACAAATCATATTTACAATATGTTTATTTCTAAAAATTACAATTATAATTGTGTTAACTTATGGATCAGAATCTTAAATAATTTTAGCACGATATTTAATTTATTAGCATTATATTCATAAATAAAATTACCGGTAGTATTTTTAATTAACTAAAATACTTAATACTTTTAGTATAAAATAGCTATTGTACTTACAAGTTAGCTTCTAAATTGTTCTACTAATTAGATATTGCGATAAAAATAATATTAATTATTAAACATGGCACATTAAGTTTAATTATATTAATGTTATAATTTCATCCAACAGGCACAATCGCTTTCAAGTACGTAAACCGACAAATATTACTCTCAATACTGATTATACTGCAAGGGTTGGGCACAATATTTCAACCATGGGCCACACACCTATGGCATTTATACCTATGCATATTTGTATACGGGTTCGGCATAGGTGCCTGGAACGGGTCCAACAATGTCATTTTAATCGAGATGTGGCAAAACCGCAGCCCCTCTATATTACAATTTAGCCAGTTCATTTACGGTGTGGGCACTATCCTAGGTCCTTTATTGGATAAAAACTTTGTTTTGGGTGAACAGATATGTCCCGGTGTTTATGAAAAGGACTGCCATTTGGCCGCCCTATCAAACGAGACCATCGCTGCCACCGATTTGTGTACCGATGAATGCCGTGCCTATGATAGGCGACCCAGACTTAAAATTCCCTTGCTCATTGGCGGCCTATTGATGATGATAGGTAAATGTGATTTACATTATATTTTAGTTTTATTACTTCTGTTACGTATAACGTTAGCATACAGTAAGAATTCAATGCATGGCATATATACTGCAAATGTATTCCTGTTACTAAAAAAAGTGCATATTTACAATAAAATACGAACTGTAAATAATTATAAATTATTTTTTATATTTATATTAACATGATATTTATCCGGTATTTTGGCAATTCTGTTTATATTATGAAAAATATTAATTTTTTAATATTGTAATAATGCATTGACCATTGTTATGATATTTAATTATTTATGGTTCATAATGAACATAATATAGCTTGAATTTATTAAAAAACAACTATAAGTATAGCTAAATATTTTATTTTAATGACTTATAACTAAATTATGATCAAATAAAATTTTCCATAATACTGCTAGGTGACTCACGTTGTATTAGAAGCTGTAATATAAAATTATATTTTAATAAATACAATATTTAAGATAAATTTCATATTAATGATGGGATAAGTACGATCTAAGATTAGTTTTTACCATAAAGTCTAAAAACAGTTTACAAAAAGTTACTTATAATTATAACATTAAACGTACCATCATTATTATTATCAAAACAGGTCCCATAATGATGCTGGCGATGTATGCGATCAAGAAATACCACTTCAATCACGACTCGAAGATAGAGGTCGTCACCACCGAAGAGCAAAAGGCGCGACACAAGCGATACGTGCCGTCAAAGACCATAATAGTGTGCACTTCTCTATACCTGGCCTTTGGTATAATGTCTGAGAATATGTATATGGATTTCGCGCCCACTTTCTACCAGTTCTCACCCGTAAAGCTGACGGCCGCCGAAGCGTCCGATTTGTTTTCACTCGTAGGCATAGCGTTGACCACTGGCCGAGGGGTCAGTATCTTCATAGCCATGTATCTCAAACCCGAGCACATGATCGCCTACCAGTCCGTCATAGTGTTTATCGGTCATGTATTTCAATATTTCGGCCAGCACGATTATAAATTGCTTATGGCCAGTTCGATCTTGATATGTTTTGGCTATTCAAGCATATTTATTTGTTTGTTTTCGTTCGTAGGCCAATACACAGAGGTTACCGATAAAATAGGGGGCCTTTTTATTGGTTCGTATAATGCCGTGTATATGTTTTTACCCTATTTTATCGGCAAGTATGTTGAGTTTTACCCTGATATGTTTGTAATTGTTGAGTTGGTTAGCATGAGTTTAGCTATTGTAGCGTTCATTTACGTGATGTGGTCCGTCAGGAATGTGCCCCAGGATTTGATTAGAAAGTTAGGCCCCATTGCTGG